GTTCACTGTGTGTCAAAACAGCCTTTAATCTTGATTCCGGAAGAATTACCGTGTGATGAACTTGAATGTCGTGAGGATGTGAGGTTCATGTTTATAGTTTTTAATACAGATAGTTCGGAGAATAGTCCTTTGTCCAGCTGTGGTTAACGGAATAAAAATTGATGAAATGTTCGCTGATTGCGGTTGTCCTCCACTGGTACAAATTCACTCTAGTTGTGTTTTTAAGGTGAGATGATTTTTATATAAAAATAGAAATATAAAAATGCTCCTATGTTGTATAAATACAGCAGTATTAAACGTATTTTTATTTCATATCATGTAGTTCTTCGACCCTAATGATCTACGGGAAGGTGGTATAAACAAAGAATATAGCAATGTTATGTTGTGGGAGTTTGACATTTCAACATCACCAACATCCCAAGCAATCCCACCATGTGACCCAGATAGTCAAGATGATGAGCTGGATAGTGTACTTCCACCAATAGAATTACATCAACCAACTGATTGTATAACTGTTTTAATTTACTAATAAACCCTGTTTGCCCTGACAGACATTCATACACACCGAATGATGGAAGAAGCGCCCAGTGGTAGCATTGTTGTAAAGAATGAAATCGGGAGGAAATTCAACACTATCGCAACACTATATATAAATGTATTGACTACTGTGTGATGCATTGCAAGGATTTATACTGATCAACCAGTTATCTATGCTCAAATGATCATCCAGTTGTCTATTATTTTACTCTGCCTAACGCCAGATTATTTTGCTGTCTAATACTACACGGCAAAAAACGCCGAGACCGTTGCTCAACAGGACTGAACAATGTTTTGCTGCCCACGTTGTTCACACTTGTCAACAATATTGAACAATGCTGTTGAGCCTGAATCGGGTGTAACAATATTGTTCAATGTTGTTGACAGCTATGAACAATGTGGGCAGCAAAACATTGTTCAATCCTGTTTTCATCAGTATTGCATCAACCTGAGCGTTTTTTGCCGTGTAGACTATTTACTCATCAGCGGGAGACTGCTGACACTCAATGGGTTAAAAACATTGAAAGAAAATGTTTAGCAAAAGCTGAAAAATTGTTTATTGGTGTCTGGTGTAATACTGATAATTCTTTTAGCTGTAAGGAAGCTCCCCAGCTTCTAATGGTACAGTCTTGGCCCTACCCCAGTTTTCCTATACTGCATGTGTTTTTGTCACTTCCCTGATTATACCATAAGTATTGTATCCCATGGACCACATCTTATCAGTTCTGCAGTTTTTTGACAATCTACTGTAAACCTCCACCTAAAAGCACTGGGCTTATAATTCTTTTGTAAGCGATTTTTGATGGGCTTACACAAGGGGGGCTTATACATGGGGGTGGGGGGGTGGGGGGGAGGGGGCTTATATTCAGAGGTTTATGGTATGTATGGTTTTCATGATTTTCAGTGTATAGTCTTCCCTTGCTCATCACAAATTAATAAAAAGATCACACTACATAATTGATGTTGATAAAATTTATTTATTTTAAAATCGAAAAAATATTAACATAATATTGCTGTACTTAAAGATAATTAAAATGTTTTTAAAAATAAAATTTTATGCACACAATTTTAAAATATTGCACACATTCATTTCACCAGTACACATGGATACTATATGATAAAGTATATGAAAGGTGATGCTTTGCTCTAGCTTAATGATGTATTAAAACAATCTAGAAGTATTACATAATTGGTAAACCTCTTCAATCGTAATGATTTGCATGATTTTCTGCAACAGATATGAATTCAATGAATGCTTTATCTTCCTCAAATGTCCATTTATGAAGTTTAACTGGGAATTTCTTTGGAGGAGTCGTTTAATCTTTCTGATAAGAAACTACAAAACAAACAGCAAAAGTGAGAGGGGCAATGTTAGTGCCAGCACAATTAGACAACAACAAAGAAACTCATGGATTTTTACCAGGATTGTGTGCATGCTTCTCCAGGAAATTTGTGTACTATCGGTTTTCTGGAATGCCCAGCATTGAAAAATAATGTTGGCGTACGGGTGGATAGAAATTGCCCAACATTGTCATGAGTTTGTGAACAAGAGGTATAAAATAGAAGGAATACATCTCCTATACAGACTAGCAGAAATACTGTTTAAAGTCAATCTTAAAACAATTGCCCAATTTTTAAAGCAGAATTCTGCCCAACTAAACACTGACTGGAGGGGTTACACCCCCCCCCCCAGCCTCATATGCCTATGGACAGAAATTCTCCCAGGCAAAAAAGCATAATTTAAAATACAATGTTGCTGTCACTATGATAATAACTCAAGCCCCCATTATTAACATATTGTTTCATTAAAAACTGATATACAATGTTTTTGTGTAATCATACTGTATTTGTAATATGTTTGTAAAAACATTTGTACTTTTAAATACACCTTGGGCCCTTGGCTTTGGACTCTGAAACAAAGATTGGCTTGATGTTGAATTTTTCAAACGAGAAATTCTGTGTCTTTTATTATTAGGTTTCCCTGGGGGAAATATGTACGAACATATATGCGTATGTTCCAAAATTATCATGGGAAATAGTGTTTATCGTGATAATTTCCTTCGCGCCATGATGATTATCAGGCGGTCTATTCCCGCCATCGGCGATAGAATATAGCAAAAGTACCCCATTTTCAAACCGCGATTACTCGTCGGTTTAGTGGAGCAAATTCATGTTTTAAAGTAACAGTAGAAAGAATAAATCTTCCCGAATTCGATGACGTGTTTTGTTTTTATTTTCCTAAAAAAAAAGTGAATTTGCTTCTGCATTATATCAAGGTCATTTTATTGGCGTGTCCACTGACCCGGAACAAGCATAATTACAATACGTAATTAGCATAACTAAAAAGCAATTCCTGTACCAAATAAGTCAAAAATAGTGTAATTAGGTTCTTAAATAATACAAATATAAAAACATACCTTCGAAAAAACGAGATATACGAAGCCAAAATCGCAATGTATTTCAACAACTTTTCGCCAAACGTTCGTTGAAAATCGTAATTGTGAATAATAATGAGACGCAATGCATTGTCGGAAGACCCTCATTCCTCCTCTGGGTAAACCTAATTGTTGATATTAACAAATAAAAGCACTTACACAACACTGAATGAAGCTTGATTATGTAAATATATGTCTTTCATCATTATTCTTTGGTTTTGCACTCGAAAGAAATTGTTTGACTGTACAGTTTGGCTTAAAGGATAGTCATTCAATGCAAGTGTGTCCAGTGTGTTCGAATAATGCCATGAGTCCTGCTTGTGACATACGAACTTCGCTCTGTTCGCTTAGTTTACCTCCTGTAAATAAAATGTCTCAAAGAAATTAGAAAATTCAGAATTAGTCATACTACAGACATAATTTTCATTGGTTTGTTTACCTTAAACTGTTATATAAAGTTTCGTTTTATAGAATGTCTAGAACGTACGAATTAATCTCGGGGAAAACTCCTGGCCAAAAGAAATGTACTCGCTGAGCGTAAACATGTCAATCAAAGCATATAGTTAATATCAAAGACGATGAAATGCAACCTCGTTCCCAGGCTCTTTGCTCTTGGGAAGCAAAGTTTTTTAAACAGATGTCTCAAAAGCGACTGTTTATAGGTCGTAGGATTAGCGCCTTGCCGGTCTTAAACGTCACACATTTGGACACAAGCCAAATACACATTGACTGTCCATTTTATTGATTCTAAAACTGTTTATAGACATATTACTCTAGATTTTTTTTAAAAGGTTATCATCGTTTATGTTAAACACCAGGAAGACAAAATATAACGTACAAAAATGTTTGAAATCGACAGTGGGTGTCAGTGCACAGCTGACATACGACAATTCACAACTACATGAATTTCCTTTTTTGTCGATCTGCACGAGTACCTGTAGCCTCCTCCGCAGGCATCTCACCCGACGAATCGGGTGGTGGGAAAAAGTTTGGTGAGATGCCTGCCATAAATCGACACAAAAATTTGCACTGCGCATACGGCTCGCGCATGCAAATTTCGACAAACGCAAACTTAGGGGGAGTAGGAAGGGCTTACAGCAAGGAGTGGAGAAATTTTTGTTTTCAACACAATGGCTTATAAAAGACGAATAACTATAAAGTTAACGAATAATACTGCTCTTTGACATTGTAAATGCACAGGGAACTTTGACTAAGGAGCTGAGAACGTTGGCGTGAGCCGAAGCAGCGATTTATTGGGATTGTTTAGAGACAGCGACTCAACGAGTGACTTTCCAGAGCAGCGAATTCACGTTGTCGTCGATTCATGTCAAGACAGGGTGTCAATTGATTTAACGTTGATATATACAAATTTCTACTCAACTTGTTGACGACATTTTATATCATAATATTAAAGCTGAAATTGCAGTGATTCATTCGAAATTATAACACGAAAAGGAACGAGCGAAAATTGACCATATATAAATGTAAATTCAACTGTTGACATCTGTGCCTTCGGTATCAGTTAAATATATTGTGAGAGAGTTAGAAGTAGAACGTTATGTAAGAACAATATAGTGGCGACCACGAGGAGAGAATATTCAAGATCGCCATCTTGAATATTCTCTCCTCGTGGTCGCCACTATATTGTTCTTACATAACGTTACTATATTGTTCTTACATAACAGTAAAATTATTGTTTGCATAAGTCTATATGTTTGCGTATATTTTATCACTTTATTATTAAAAAGAAACAAATTCAATATCCCGCGGAAGCCTTATGATCCTAAGTCTCTTACATGGTCCTTATTCGAGCCGGATGTACGTTTAAATCAAGGGAAATCGAGAATTCGTTTACGAACTTGGCAAACATCGTTGATCGTGAGTTGAATAATTAGTATTCATATATTCAAAGTTTATTGGTGAACTGAATACTGCGTAAAGTCGTTGATTATTCAATGATCGAGTATTCGAGTTAATTCTGGACTTGAGAAATTTATGAAACCCTACATCCATTCCATTCCATACAAGATGACTGAAGAAGAATTAAAGAGGAAAATTAGAGTCCGCGGGGGTCACCGGGCTTCAGCCAAACGTATAATTGCCGCAGCTGAAGAAAGTCTTCAAGTATTCGACCCAAACAACCCAGAAACAGTTATTAGGGTGAAACAGCAGCTGACCACCCTCAAGGAAAAAATGAAAACTCTGAGTGTGCACGATGAAGAAATATTAAGTTTGGTAAAGAAAGAAGAAATCGAAAACGAGATTGAACAAGCTGATATATTTAAGGAACGATTACAACACTCGATAGTAAGCATCGAAATGGCACTAGAGAAAATTGTAAACGAGACATCGGCTCATGGTAGCACTGTTAGTGGCACATCACCCAGCTCGTCTAATGTAGGCTATTAGTAAAACACGGAGCACGGAGCACGGAGCACGGAGCACACGGAGCACGGAGCACACGGAGTACGGAGCACACGGAGCACGGAGCACACGAAGTACGGAGCAGTAGAAAAACGAAAATCCTTTATAATAAAATACACTGTTTACTATTACAAATTTTTGTTATTATTAACAAAGTTTTTTCGCGTATTACACGTTGGGGAAGTAGGAAAATGGGGCTTTTACTGAAAAACACATATGATGCAAAACCAGGCTGCCAAAAGCCATAGTATTTAAAATGGGATTGTGAAACTCGTTATCTTACATCTATCAAGCTTATGTAGTTATATTATATTCCGATGGGCAACACATAAAGAAACACTTACTGTAGAGAACAGCCGATATATTTCGTTACCCCTGCCAAAAAATAGCCAAGTATACTCATCTTTCAATGTAGCGGATCGACTGAACATTAAATCTTGTGATGAGAAAAGTGAATTTTCGGTTTATCCTTCGGCTCAGTGACCGGTGGCAGTGAGCTGTACGGCCGGCTAAGTTTAAACCGTTATACAGTAAATCATTACTGCTTTCATTCTTTTAATTCGTTTTGAATATTCGGAATCATTCACAATATTATAAAACTGTATAAGATAGCTGTACGTAGAACTATAAATGCTGTAGAATGAAATAAATAAAGAAAAGTAAGTTTTCAAATCGCGGTATTTGCCGATGAATCGGTAATCGCTACAGAAAAACAGAACAAATTACAGTATTAAAATCACAACAAACCGCGGAAGTGGGACAATTTGACCGTATTAAAGCTGCTTTTGGGAATTTAGATTTTAGGTCTTCGTTTTACATGTACCCAGACCAGTAAATATTTTTAAGTTTTGAATTTTGTGTATAAATCAACACCAACGCCTCAAAGGCGAGAAGGAGGGCAAGATTGTTAGAATTGCTATTGTAAACATGAGCAGTTTCGAGCATAAACATGAAATTGAAACGAGTAATTTTTACACATCTGATTGACTAAATTCAGGAAGCCATTTAAGTGTACGTGTATTTGTTACAATTCCGATCAACTCTGCCGTGCAGCACGGCAGAGCCAGAGACAGAGTAAATTGTAAACAAATTGTAAGCTTGTGAGAATCAAAGTTCAAAACTCAAAAATATTTACTGGGTACATGTAAAACAAAGACTTAAAATCTAAATTCTCAAAAGTAGCTTTAATACTGTCAAATTTTCCGAAGTCTGATTTAGTTGTTTCAAAAGCATAGAATACACACACACACTTCTGCATGGATTTCGTACATGTTCTGCATGTGTTACAGTAAAAATACAAAAATTGTCCTACTTCCGCGGTTTGTTGTGATTTACTGTAATTTGTTCTGTTTTTCTGTAGCGGTTACCGATTTATCGGCAAATACCGCGATAAAACGTAGTTTTCTTTATTTATTTTATTCTACAGCATTTATAGTTCTACAGCTATCTTATACAGTTTTATAATATAGTAGTGAATGATTCCGAATATTCAAAACGGATTGAAAGAATGAAAGCAGTAATTATGTATAACGGTTTAAACGTAGGCCGTACAGCACACTGCTCACAGTGGTCACTGGGACGAAGGATAAACCGAAAATTCACTTCTCTCCATGACAAGCTTTTATAATGTTCAGTCGATCCGCTACATTGAAAGATGAGTACTTGGCTATTTTTTGGCAGGGGTAATGAAATATATCGGCTGTTCTCTAAGTGTTTCTTAATGCGTTGGCCATCGGAATATAATATAACTACATAACTCATAAGCTTGATAGATATGAGATAACGAGTTTCACAGGCACAATCCTATTTTAAATACTATGGCTTTTGGCAGTTTTGCATCATATGTGCAGTAAAAGCCCCATTTTTCTACTTCCTCAACGTGTAAAACGCGAAAAAACTTTATTAATAAGAACAAAAATTTGTAATAGTAAACAGTGTATTTTATTATAAAGGATTTTCGTTTTTCTACTGCTCCGTAGTTCGTGTGCTCCGTGCTCCGTGCTCCGTGTGCTCCGTGCTCCGTGTGCTCCGTACTCCGTGCTCCGTGCTCCGTGTGCTCCGTGCTCCGTGTTTTACTAATAGCCTCTAATGTAAGTCAAAATTCATCTTATTCTGCTACTGTAAAATTACCAAAGTTAAGCTTGAAAAAATTTAGTGGGGATGTTACAAAGTGGACAACATTTTGGGAGTGCTATGAATCTGCTATTCACAATAATGCTAATCTCACAAAGATTGAAAAGTTCAATTATTTAAAATCACTTTTGGAACATTCTGCAGCAGAAACTATAGAGGGACTGCTGTTAACAAATGCAAACTATGATGAAGCAATTAAGATCTTGAAAGATAGGTTTGGAAATCAACAAATTATTATCAATAGCCACATGGAAGCCCTGTGTAATATACCAAATGTTGGAAGTATTGACAATGTCAAAATGCTTCGTCAACTTTATGTCAAAGTAGAAACCCATGTGAGAAGCCTTACAAGTCTTGGAGTCAACTCAGGCTCATATGGGAATCTAATGATTTCAATTCTCATGAATAAGCTACCACAAGCAATGGGTGTTATTGTTACGAAGGCATTGGGGAGCACATGGACCCTTGAAAAAATGTTGGATACTGTTAAGTCTGAATTAGAAGCCCGTGAAAGAGCCAACATGTTGAGTTCAAAACCAGCAAGCAAACCACCATATTCCCCACATCCAAGGGGATACAGCAGTGCAGCAGCCCTCCTAAACAATGGAACCCATCTGACATGCACTTATTGTAAAAATACCCATCCCTCAGCTCATTGTAATGTTGTCACCAACCCGAATGCGAGAAAGCAGATCCTACAAAAGGAAGGCAGATGTTACATCTGGAAAAATCATGGAAAAATCAAACTTACATCTGGAAAAATCAAACCCTTCGGAAAAATCATGTCAGCCGAGGATGCACATCGTCCCTGAAATGTTATCACTGTGGGAAACGTCGCCATGCGAGTATATGCAATGCCAGACCATCAAGAAATGAAAATGAGAGAGAAACCCACAACGTCGACCATGAAGGTACCAAACCTCCCAAAGACCAGAAGAGCAATGACACCCCAGATAACAAGAAAACCAACAACACCCCGGATAGCAAGCAAACCCCCCATGAGGAAAGAAAATCTCACTCTCTATATATTGAAAATGGTACTTCCATTTTGTTACAAACTGCACAAGCAGAAGCATATAAGTCAGATGCACCAGAAACAAGCATCCCAGTTAGAGTGATCTTGGACAGTGGCAGCCAAAGATCCTATATAACGACAGAATTAAGGGACAAGTTAAATCTCCCAACACTCAAATCTGAACCGCTTATGATTAAAACGTTTAACTCAGAAAGGGAATCAGTGCAAGTATGCGATGTTGTCCAGTTATGTATTGGTAAAGAAGGAAGTCTAGCAGTAAATCTTAATGCCTATTGTGTACCTACAATTTGTTCTCCACTTGTCAACCAAAACACCCGAGTGTCCCAATCCCAGTACGAACACCTAGCATCCCTTAAATTAGCAGATGAGACTAGTGGGATCGAAGCAGCAACGATAGAGATATACTAGTTGGATCAGATCAGTATTGGCAATTAGTAACAGGAGAAGTAGTGAACGGCGAATCAGGGCCCACAGCCATGAACACGAAGTTAGGTTGGGTGCTCTCTGGCCCAATCGAAAGAAGCTCTGCGAGTCACGAGCCGGTGACAAACCTTGCATGTACCCATGTTTTGAAATGTGCAGCGAATCCCTTGAAAGACGGTGTTGGATTAGATAATGAAATAAAGAAATTTTGGGAGTTAGAGGCATTAGGTATTCAACCAGAAGAGGCGTCAGTTTATGAGGATTTTACGAACACGATATCACGTAAAGATGGAAGATACGAAGTTCAATTACCATGGAAACACTCTCATCCGGTCTTGCCAGATAACTACAAGGCTTCCCTACAGCGTTTTCATTCTCTGTACAATCGATTAAAGCAGACCCCAAGAATTTTGGAAGAATATGACAACGTCATTAAAGACCAACTTCAGAAAGGGATTGCAGAAAGAGTAAATGAATCTGAGGCTTGTGAAATTGGCAAGGTACACTACCTACCACATCATGCCGTCATACGCAGAGACAAGGAAACAACACGTTTGAGGGTAGTTTACGATGCGTCCTCTAAGTCCAACGGAATCTCGCTGAACAGTTGTTTATATACTGGGCCATCTTTGTCCCAGAATATATTAGACATACTGATACGATTTCGAAGTTTCAAGGTAGCGATGATTAGCGACATCGAGAAGGCGTTCCTGATGGTCTCTATTGCGGAAGTGGACAGAAATGTGTTGAGGTTTCTGTGGGTAGACGACATTTCCAAGGAGAAACCAGAAATCATCGTCCTTCGCTTTACCAGAGTCGTTTTTGGAGTTTCGTCAAGCCCATTTCTACTCAATGCAACCATTGCACACCACATCGGACAGTATGAAATAGTTGATCCCACATTCGTAGAAAGGTTTTTAGAAAACATCTACGTTGATGACCTTAGCGCTGGAGGAGCGAGCGTGAGTGATACGTATGAATTTTACGTGAAATCTAAGTTGAGATTGGCTGAAGGAGGGTTTAACCTGAGAAAGTTCATGTCAAATTCTAAAGAATTAATGAATAAAATCGATGCAAATGAAATCCGATTGCAGATAACTACTGATTCTACGAATAACTCGAATGATACAGCTTCAGTTATGAATACGTCAAGTGATCAGGCTTCAGCCAACGAACTCGTAAACGCAGAAGGTCCAATGAATGCTGGATCGTACACAAAAACCAAATTAGGAAGTGGCAAGCCAATCTTTAACCAAGGAGAGCAGAAAGTCTTAGGTTTACGATGGAACACCGCGACAGACTGTTTCCTTTTCGACCTAAAGAGCCTTGTAGAAAATGCAAAGAATTGCGAACCAACAAAACGAAACATTGTTAGTGTGGTATCAAGTATATACGACCCTGTTGGATTCATGTCGCCAATAACAATTCGACTTAAAATCCTGCTACAAGAGTTGCATGAAAGAAAAATCAGTTGGGACGAACCACTAGACGTGACGTCGAAGTCAGCATGGTTCAAATTAGTTGGAGAACTCGAGAAGGTCGAACAGATGGTCTTCCCTAGATGTTTTGTCGTCGGCGTAGAGGAAGAAGTTATATCTTATTCGCTACACGGGTTCTGCGACGCCTCCGTCAAAGCGTATGCTGCAGTAATTTATCTAAAGATGGAGACATTACATGGTGTATACGTAAGGTCCGTAACGTCGAAATCGAGAGTGTCTCCCCTGGAAAGACAGTCGATTCCACGCTTAGAACTATTGTCAGCGCTCGTACTCGCCCGGCTTATCGATAATGTTGAACGAGCATTGAAATCAGTCATAAATCTTGGTCCATCGACATGCTGGACAGACTCGAAGGTCTCGCTGTATTGGATAACACAGCTCGATAAGGAATGGAAACAATTCATTCAAAATAGAGTTATCGAAATTCGGAAACTCACCTCAATTTCATCGTGGAAGCATTGTCCAGGTCAAGAAAACCCAGCAGACATTCCTTCAAGGGGAATGGCCCCTACAGAAATTGCCAATTGTGAGCTTTGGAATCATGGCCCTGGCATGTTATATGGCGAAATGGACGGGGAGGAACATAAAGAGCAAATAATCACAGAAATTCCGGAAGAATGTACGAAAGAAATGAGAATCGCTGACCAAAAGAAATTGGGAAACAACGTTCAAAACTCCCTTTTGGTGGTTGAGGGCGAGAAGACAGAGAAGAGTATTGCTACGATAATAAACTGTAATAACTTCAGTTCGTTTCGAAGACTGATCAGAGTTACTGCTCGAGTCTTGAAATTCACAAAGATTCTGAAAAGGAAATGCAAATCGAAAGAATTGACGACTGAAGATGTTAAAGAGGCATGCAGAATTGTTATGGATTAAAGAAATACAAACATCTCTAAAACGCGATTCCAGATACGAGTCTTGGCGGCGACAGTTCGGACTGTTCAGCGACAGCCAACGAGTGATAAGATGCGGTGGACGCATATCAAACGCTGAGATTCAGTACGAAACCAAACACCCGATCATGTTGGACAGAAATCACAGAGTAACACGACTCATCATCTCGTGAACGCGTTCACCACAATGGCGTAAAAGAAACACTCACCGAAATCAGATCGAAATTCTGGATTGTCAAGGGAAGGCAATTGATTAGAAAGATAATACACAGTTGCGTTCCTTGTCGACGCTTCGAGGGAAAGCCATATAACCCAGCAGACCCACCACCATTACCCAAATCCAGAATAGTAGAAGACCCACCATTCACATGTACGGGTATTGACTTTGCTGGACCATTATATGTTAAAAACGAAGATGAATCCAGCTTAGAAATGGCGAAGACGTGGATATGTTTATATACATGCGGCGTAACACGAGCTGTCCACCTCGAACTTGTCCGAGAAATGTCGACGGAAGCCTTCTTGAGAAGCTTTAAGAGATTCACCGCAAGACGCGGGGTTCCAGCCAAGGTTATATCGGACAACGCTAAAACCTTTATTTCAGCCGCAAAGAAATTGTGCGCCCTGTTTGATCTACCTGAAGTGAAATGTTATCTATCTTCCAAGAAAATCCAATGGTGCTTTAACATAGAAAGGGCTCCCAGGTCGGGAGGCTTTTTCGAACGATTGGTAAAATCAGTAAAACGATGTTTGAAGAAGGTTCTAAAGAATTCGAAGGTAACATACGATGAACTACTAACGATTGTAACCGAAGTTGAAGCTATCCTTAACTCCAGACCGATATCATACGTGTCATCCGAAGATATCGAGGAACCGCTTACTCCTTCGCACTTGTTGTGTGGTTGAGATAATAACGATATTACTGTAGTTATATGAAGTAGCTGGCAATTGTTTATGAGCCCGCAATAGTTATGTTTATATAAGGCGGTGTTTGACCACCATTTTGTAAGATTTGTACTTTAGAGTTTATAGCAAGGTTTTAAGTTGAATAAAGCCTGATTTTACTTTGCTTTACAATTATGGGTTCGACAATTTATTCAACTTAATAAAACTGTCTTCAATGTGGATACTGTACTGAAACCTGCTCGTCTTGATTTGGATCCTAATTCACCATCTGCAGCTAAAGAATGGAAACATTGGCATAAGACCTTTACTAACTTTCTCGCAGAGTGTGGTTCAAGAGCTCCAGATAAGTATCGTACTCTTATTAACTACGTATCACATAACGTGTATGAATATATTGAAGACTGTACTGATTATGATTCAGCGCTCGAAGTATTAAATCAGTTATTTATTAGAAAGCCGAATGAAATATCTGCTCGACATTTACTCGCTACTAGACGGCAAAAGCCAGGCGAAACACTCGTAGAATTTATTCAGGAACTTCGGAGACTAAGTAAGGATTGTAATCTAAAAAGTGTTACTGCTGAACAGTATCGGGAGGAACTAATTCGAGACTCATTTATTAATGGTCTACTTTCCCCGTTAATTCGTCAACGTCTTCTAGAGAACAGTACATTAGATTTGAAATCTGCTTTTGACCAAGCTAGTGCTTTAGATTTAGCACAGAAGAACGCGGAAACGTATACTATGCCCACTATTCCCACACCTACAGCGGCAGCTGTTTCAGTAACAGAACAGACCTCGAAAGCTGCTGCCTTCAATGACGATGCCCCGCTTGCCGGAACATTTACATCAAAGAAATGTTATTTCTGTGGTAATTCTATTCATAATAGAAGAAATTGCCCTGCCCGAAATTGTGTGTGTGATAGCTGTGGCAAAAGGGGGCATTACGCAAAAGTTTGCAGGTCAAAGGCCCCTACGGTTGCTTCAATATTTTCGCCTTCACTTTGTGCAATCGTGGCTTCCTGTCCAGAGTCTTTGAAGCAAGCATCTGTAATGGTTTCTATTGGAAACAAACCGTTGACTGCACTTGTTGATTCTGGAAGTTCTGACAGCTATATAAGTGAGAGTATGGCCAAACACCTTGATCTTCATTTTCATCCGTCAACACAAGATGTATCTATGGCCCTGAGTTCCCTCAAGTCACATGTTGTTGGTCACTGCTATGTAGATATTGTTCTGAATGAACATATGTATCCATCCTGTCGTCTGGGAATACTTAAAGATCTTTGTAGCGATATAATCCTAGGTCAGGATTTCCAAAAAGAGCACAAGAGCGTTATTATCGAATATGGTGGTTCTAAACCAGAGCTGATGATTCCAAAGTCTACCCCTGTTTGCGCTCTCTCTGCTGCATCAGTTGAAGAGCCGTCTCTTTTTGCGAATCTTCGTCCAGATTGCAAACCGATAGCAAGTAAATCGAGACGCTTTAGTAAGGAAGACCACGATTTTATACAACAGGAGGTTAATCAGCTTCTCTCGGAAGGGATCATTGAACCCAGTAATTCACCATGGAGAGCACAGGTTGTTGTTGTTAAAGATCCGTTGAATAGACATAAGAAGCGGCTCTGCATAGACTACTCGCAGACCGTTAACCAGTATACCGAGCTTGACGCCTATCCTCTACCACGGATTGATGATATGATTAACAATCTTGCTAGCTACAAATTTTTCTCAACTTTTGATCTTAAAAGTGCCTATCATCAAGTGCCAATAAAGGAAGCTGATCAGAAATATACTGCCTTCGAAGCCAATGGAAGACTCTATCAGTTCCAACGTGTGCCTTTTGGGGTTACAAATGGGGTAGCAGTTTTTCAAAGGGCAATGGATAAGTTTGTCGATGAGGAGGGACTCAAAGATACCTTTCCATATTTGGATAATATAACAGTAGCGGGGCGAGACCAAGAAGAGCATGATGAAAATGTCCAGAAGTTTCACGACGCTATCAGTCGAAGGAATCTTACCCTTAATGAAACGAAATCTGTTGAATCGAAGTCGTCAATCAATTTACTTGGATATGGTATTGAACATGGTGTAATTACTCCCGATCCAGAAAGGCTACGCCCCCTCCAAGAGTTTCCACCACCAGAGAATGCCCGAACCCTACAGAGAGTAGTTGGTATGTTCGCCTATTATGCAAAATGGATACCCCATTTTTCTGACAAGATCAAACCTTTGATGAAGGCTGTAACATTCCCACTGGATTCGGACGCTCTAGCTGCATTCAATACTCTCAAGAAAGAACTTGGGAACGCAGCTCTTCAACACGTAGATGAGAGCCTTCCGTTTGTGGTCGAATGTGATGCCTCGGAAGTGGCGCTCTCTGCTACGTTAAATCAGGCTGGCCGACCAGTTGCATTCATGACGAGGATGCTCCATGGCAGTGAATTACACTATCCTGCAGTAGAGAAGGAGGCAATGGCTATCGTAGAGGCGGTTCGCAAGTGGCAGCATTTTCTTGCTCGTCGTCATTTTACTCTGAAAACGGATCAGCGTTCGGTAGCGTTCATGTTCGACAGCAGAAAACGAACCAAGATCAAGAACAATAAGATCCAGGCTTGGCGACTCGAGCTTGGTTCCTTCAGCTATACAGTGGAATATCGGCCTGGAAAGGATAATGTTGCTCCTGATTCATTCACACGCGCATTCTCTGCCTCGATGTCATCAAACAACCTCGAAGAAATCCATATTGGGTTGTGTCATCCAGGTGTAACTCGAATGTTACACTTCGTAAAGTCCAAGAACCTTCCATACTCCACTGAAGAAGTTAAGAAAGTGTGTTCAGCATGCCGAAGTTGCGCCGAATTGAAGCCTCAGTTTTATCGTCCGCAGCAACCCGGAAACCTCATCAAAGCCACACAGCCTATGGAGCGACTTAGTATCGACTTCAAGGGTCCACTACCTACTGCTACTCGTAATGCATATATACTCACTGTTGTGGATGAGTACTCCCGTTTCCCATTTGCTTTTCCATGTCCAAATATGCAATCCTCAACCGTCATCATGTGTCTGAATCAGTTATTCAGTCTTTGTGGCATGCCAAACTATATTCACTCAGATCTTGGTACCTCTTTCCTTTCTCGGGAACTAAAGGACTATCTAACGAAACGAGGAATAGCAACGAGTAGAACTACGCCGTACCATCCAATTGGCAATGGTCAAGTTGAACGATACAATGGTATCATCTGGAAGGCGGTTCGTCTTGCTCTAAGGTCAGCTAATCTACCAGATTCAAGATGGGAACTCGTACTCGCTGATGCAATTCACTCGATTAGATCACTTCTCTGTACGTCAACTAATGCAACTCCACATGAAAGGTTTTTTAACTTTCATCGTCGTTCATCATATGGTGTGTCCCTGCCATCATGGATGCAACCTGGTCCCGTATTGCTACGTCGATTTGTTCGAACAAGTAAGAACGATCCACTTGTGGATGAAGTGGAGTTAACGGATGTTAACCCAACCTACGCACGTGTACGTTACGCTGATGGGAGAGAATCGTCTGTTTCTCTACGTGATCTGGCTGCCTGCCCGCCTTCTTCCATCCAGAATGGAACCCCCCTTGAACCTCAACCTTCGCAAGAACCCTTACCTACATCTGATGGATTTCCTCCAACGCCAAACTCTACGACTCTGCAAGTTCCTGAGATTCAGTCACAAGCGGATAATGCTGAACACGAGTTGTTAACAAAAGAAACTGGTCTAAGGCGTTCTACTCGTGTAAGCAAACCACCAGCTCGTTACGGTTGGTAAGGTTGTGAACTAGTAACTCTATGAATTGAACTATAAAATTTGAACCTTATTGTTAGTTATAGTACTTATATATGACAATTATTATTAATGTAAATTACTTGGGAACTTTCTATTGTTTTAGAACTTTTAGGGAGGAAGAATGAGATAATAACGACATTACTGTAGTTATATGAAGTAGCTGGCAATTGTTTATGAGCCCGCAATAGTTATGTTTATATAAGGCGGTGTTTGACCACCATTTTGTAAGATTTGTACTTTAGAGTTTATAGCAAGGTTTTAAGTTGAATAAAGCCTGATTTTACTTTGCTTTACAATTATGGTTTCGACACTGCCCCCGCAATGTTTGGGCAACGGGGGCAGTTGCCCCCGTGGCTCCGGCGCCCCTGCCAGTAGCTGTGTCGGTTGGCAAAATACGAAGCAGAAAGCATGTTGTTCTGGAGAAGAACAATAAACTGGATTAATTACAGCTGCAGCTAAAGATAAAAGTGACTGAATCTTTTTCTGCTTTTTGTACATGTTTACATGTCTCTTTCGGCCAAATTTAATTTTCCCGCGCTTTCTCAAACAACGTCTCAGACTCAGTGCTCCCGCGACAAATGTCCCGGTGCAAACATTCTCATATAAACCCGAGATGTAAATCGTCCCGTCCCGCCTCTCATATAAACAGCCCCTTAGTGCTGTGATGACTGGATTGTCAGTGGAAAGTGCAGGGGTTTGTGAATATACCTGACGATATTCATCTTTCTGCAGGTTTTGGTGGTGCAGGAGCTATTGTGGAAGGTCCAGTGATTGGTGTGATAGTGGATTATTATGGTTGGTCTGGAGCATTTTATTTCATGGTTTTTCTCTCCATTCTCGCTTCTCTTTCCTTATTAAAAGGATCTCAAGATGATATGACCTAATCCTGGAAGTTAGATCAAATTATTAGATTGTAAGTCACGGTGACTCGCGGACAGCTAGCCACAACAGCCTTGTACCAAATTTCTAAGGTAACTCTGAGTTCGCACACAACATTTTGGCGAAAGGATACGACGGAAATAGGTACCCCAAAGTGTGGATTTACTCTGAAGGGAATGTGTACGAAGTTGGATCACGCATCTGCATAAATAATCTGCATAGCCAATAAGATACAGCAGTTTCCAGCAGAAATAATACAAAAAGACAAACATTCAAATGAATGAATCGACTCACGTGACTGCATAATTTTTTCATGTATACTATTAAGGGACGGACCATTAGAAAAGTGATGGGGGGGGGGGGGTAAATTTTTTTTGTTTGCATTTTTTTTCCAGGTTGTCAGCTGTGTATGCATGTTTTTTTTAAATATGTCTTCTCGCATGTAATTTTTTTTCCAATACAACTATACAAATGTTAACGAAACTGTTCTCTTGACAAAAAAATATCCCTTTAATACACACTGCAAAATTATATCTTTAAGCACCATATATGGACAAGTTTTCTAGGGGTCCAGAGCATGCTCACCCAGAAAATTTTTGAATCTAAATTCTCTGAAATACCATTTCCCGGACTTTGGGGAGAGATTTTACAGAATTCTGATGGTCAGAAAACGCCATTGTAACATATCAGAGGCCCTTGGCCAATGTTTTTGCTCTATAGCCTGAGCCTGGGGCCCCCCATTTGCGGGCCCATTGGGGTTGGTGGCCCCCGGATTCTCCCAGTCCGAGCCCATAGTAGTTACGCCACTGAGGACAGTGGCAGTGTGAATGAGAATTAATTATTAAATACAATAGAAAATATTTTGATAGTATATAATAAAACTACATAAGAGGTACTGTTAATATTGAAAGAAATTGCATATTAATATATTATATATTTTGATATATTTATATTCTGAAATATTCCAAAGATTTAGTTCAATTTTGTCTGATGTACATTTAAAATTAAAGTTCTATTGTTGTTCTGTTTGTAATTTTTTTTTTAAACAAGTCTGTTTGCATGTATTTTTTTTCAAACCTTTTTTGTTTGCATGGATTTTTTTCTGTTTTTTCCCCACCCTCCCCATCACTTTTCTAATGGTCCGTCCCTAATAAGTATTAGTATAATTACATAGGTGATTATTGAAAATTCTCCACGCTGATTGGTTACCGTTGAGGTGATTATTACGCGATAATCACCTAAGCGATTTTCAAAATGGCGGCCGAAGCCGTTTTGTCAATTAAAAGACGAAGAAATGTGCATTTTTAAATTTTTTTCCAAATAATCACCTATGAAATTATACCAAAACAATTATTCACCTCAGGCTTGGTGATTATCGTGAATAAAAACCTCGACTTCGTCTCGGTTTTTATTCACCGATAATCACCTCGCATTCGGCGAATAATTGTTAAATAGTATGGTTTCTCGTGCAATTTGAAAAAACATACACATGTGAGTCTTTCAAAGACTCCAAATCGAACTCGGAAAAATTCACAGTGCATGTTTTTTTTCCAAATTGCACTCGAAACCATACTATTACCTGTACAAATAGCACGCCCCCCTGCATCGATTCAATCTAAGAAATAAATTTTGGTGGAACCAATGTTATGGCTGTTCGTCGCATAAGTCGTTAATATCATTTGAATGTTAATTCAAAATTATCTGGCAATTAAATAGCAAACTGCCACCACAAACTGTGCCTGTGAAAAGAATAAAAGATGCTGAGTTCGTTAATTTGTTATTTTTCACCACCATTTGTAATGGTGAGCGTGTGGTGAGTGCAAGCTGGCCGAGTGTTGTAGGAAGTTCAAGATACCACTTGCATGGATCTTTCCCACCGCTAGTTCCCAGGCTATGTAGGTCAATAGCTTGGTACTCGAATATTTAGTACTCCGTACTACGGACCTCCTCATATGTCTACTTTATAGTGTAGATACACAATCAATTTGAAGAAGAAAGTTTGTATCTAGCGTACGCACAGACAAGTGCAGCGGATCGTGATTTATGTTAGTCAAAAGGAACGCATGCCTGGGATACTAGATTGTCTGCTCTGCATGTAGGAAATTGATGATTCCCCTTATTACGTTTTCGGAGCGCTTTGTATTGTGGTTAACTTAATGGTTATAGTGGTAACACTGACAAAGATAGCGGCCTCGAATGAAAATATTGAATGTTTTCGGGAATATTTTGCTGTTGGCTATCGCGCACCTGAGCCTAGCTTTTTTTTAAAGTTCTTGTACTGGTGAGGACAAAAATCAAGCCATCTTGAATATTAGTGATACCACTATAACCACAATGCAAAGCGCTACGAAAACGTAATCAGGGGAATCTAGTATTCACATCAGGGGGCAGGCTTGGTTAATTTTTACTGATGTAGTAATCTGAATATGTGATCAATAGACTTGCTCCAAGTCTCACTTTCAATGTCATATCGACCCACTATAGTGTACATTACATGATACAGTGGACCGATACTATATGACAATGAAAGAGAGACTTGGAGCAAGTCTAATAGACTAAGGGCTGAGAGGGCCTTCACTCGTAACGTCGAAGTTTTTTCCATATTTTTTAACTACAGTCGAACTATGGATATCCGGGTTTTAGGCTGCACGCAGGCCAATAAAACGCCTACTCTGCAGGTGCGCATTCCAGTCCTTGTCTATTTCCAGATCAGTGGACGCAGCCCGCAGTTTAGCTGCGGTTGTTTGTGTAGTCATTGAAGCACGTCATGTAAGGATTGTAAGTAAAGAAAACAAAACTGCAGAGATATTTTTATGAAAATTTACCACCAATCCTGACAATGGTAACTGCCTTACAAACTCGTCAAATATTCACATTTATTGTAACATGGTTATCTTATGCCTCCACATATCTACTTCGAAAACCTCTTGGTGTTATCAAACCAGACTTGGAAAAAACTCATCATTTGAAAAAGACTGAAATGGGATGGCTTGATGCTGCCTTACTCTTGCCTTATGCTGTTATGCAAATGTTACTTGGAGGTTTAGGAGATAAAATTGGTGCAAGAAAAGCTTTGACCATTTGCTTAATAGGTTCAGCATTTTCAATGGTAAATTTTGATTATTATATACTCGATTATATCACAGAGTAGAGACATACAGAGATGTAACTAGTGTACCCACTTTTTTTGTGCGCATGCTCGGCAAGTTACTAGATGCATGCATCTGATTGGATGACGACCTGATGACGACTCACTTTAAACTTGCTGAGCATGCGCAGTTGATCATTTTCCGGCCGGTCGCCTGAAAAAAGTGGGTACATGATAACGTAATCTTCCACAGTGTTTACAACGGTCAGTTACATCTCTGTATGTCTCTACTCTGTGATTATATAGACCCTTGCTTTGTTTATTGACATTTTAAGCCTGTTCACATCACACTAGAAATTCTGTCGGCGATTTTTCTCATCCTGGCAAATGTGATCGAATGAATGACATGCAAAAGACTTAGAATTGTTTACTTCTGAAAAGCGACTCTATACTTTTGTGTGCGTGTTCATTCATTTGCATCCGTCAGAAACACAAAATTGCTAGTATGAACCAGGCTTTAAATTTTTACTGGCTGGTTAGGTGTCACATCCATATTCGGGTTGCCATGTTATGACGTTCCGGGTGGGTCAAAAGTATTCTGTGATGTCACAAATTTCACCATGACAAAATGAATGTTTTGGAAAAAATCCTGCCATAAGGCCACTCCAATTAAATTAGATTTTAGTTTCCCATCCTCTGTCCGCATCTCCTAGAACTGGCCGCATGATTTGTCCATTATTGATAACTTGTTTCCATTATTTGACTTTTGTGACTAAGAATAATGAAAATCCACAGTTTTTGAATAATCTATTGTCCAAGAAATACATATATTTATAATATAATACATAAAAATCAAAACAAAATTGTTGAAACTTTTATGAAAGAGTGTGAATTGTTGTTTTTGTTCATTTTTACTATAACAGTAACTGCTGAGATAGACACTTCCGTTACACGTTTTGATTTTCGAATGTAATAAAAGGATAAGGTTAATTAATATCCTGGCTTTCATTTCTGCATACAAAAAAAAACAGAACAGTCCATAGAAACGTGACTGAATGGATATTTAAAACGTGTATTTATTTCATGAAATAATGGGTCATGTCAGGCGGTCGCCGGTTTATTTTGAAAGCCCTGAGACACCATAATGGAAATGGACTGCCCGCCCACATGTAATTTGAAATAAGGACCGGACGGGAAACTAAAGTCTAATTTGGAATGGCTTAAGCTATGCCACACTTGCCTTTTCAAGGTTGCATGGTTGGGTGGGTTTAGATAAAATGTTGATTTGACATATTTTTTTGTGGCAATATTAACTTGAATATGGACATATGGCTCCTTGTGTTCTTCATTGTGATTCTGCAATGCATATTATAATTATAATATATAGAACTCTCCTGGAAGCTTTTTAAAGACATGCTAACAAAATATAAACATTGCATCTATACAGTACCAATTGAATATGGTATTCAGCCTTATGGAGATAAACAGCAGGGTTGGGTTGCCAAATTATAAAAAAAACTACTATGTGCAATGCAAATTCAATATAATGGATTTTGAACTTTAGCTTCTTCCAACAGGGGTTCCTGTGTCATATCACCAATATAAATGCCTGCACAGGCTATTTGAAGTAGAGAGGCAAAGCTTGTGTACATGCAAGTGAACAATTAAGTCTTCAAGTAATATGTGCCTGAATATGTTCTACAACAATTTGGTACAATTCTCCTTTAAATATGGCTGGGATAAACTAGAAAGTACAGTAGCTAGGATACTCTTGGAAATTCCTTGAAAAGTCCTGGAATTTCAAAGTGAGTCAAGTTACCTCTGGAAAACTATCCTGATACCCATACATGTGTATCATTGTATGACACTTAGAGGATTAAACCTTCTGTTTCAATTGACATGATTGATTACAATGAACTAACATCATATTGATCTTTTTCAATAGTGATATTACTTGATAGTAATAATTATTTAAATATAGTGAAAAACTTGTCGGCTTAATGGCGAAATTACTTTTGCCATATGTTAAATACCCCTGAGAATGAGAGGAAAAAGTCCTTGAAGGTCCTATATAGATTTTTCAGCTTATAATTAAGTAACACTAGTCAGCATTGCATCCAATGTTCAATACATGTATAACAGTTGTCCATTGCCCATTGGCCATTGTCTGAGTAAATGCCAATCTGTTGTTATGCACAGACATTTTGCCAAATAGAATAATTTTGCCATCATGACATTATTTCTTTCTTATTCTTGCAAATTTAAACCAAAATGGACCTCTTTGTCCAGACAGTCTGCTACATGTAATAAGAATAGCCAGCTAAGTTATTAAAACTAAACAGACATCTTATGAATGTTTTCAGATCACATTTGGCTATTGGAACCATGTTTTAATGCTTTCATTGTTACTATTCCTAAATGGGACATTTCAAGCAACAGCTTGGCCTAACTGCGTAAAATGCCTCAGTTCATGGTACTCAGATGAACATCGTGCCTCCATATTTGGTTTATGGGGAACATGTACCTTTGCTGGAGGCATTATTGGTACTTCATTGGCTGTGTATTTACAATCGGTTTACTCACCTGATCTCAAAATGATTTTTATACTACCATCATTGGTAGTATTTTCTATTGGTGTATTAGTATTTCTAACTATGAAAATGCCTGGAGAACTAAGCATTACAATCCCTGGAAAAGAACCATTGATCACAAATTCCACTGCAAAAAGTGACAAAGTTTTGAGTTTTTCAGAAGTTATTCGATTAAATCTTGTTCCAGAACTAGTCGTGACTGTGATTTGTGTAAAACTTGTTCGTTATTGTCTGTACATGTGGCTTCCAATGTATCTCCATGAAGCTCTGAAATACGGTAAAGCACAAGCAGGAATGTTGTCTACAACGTTTGAAATTGGTGGAGTTTTAGGATCTGCTTTAATTGGTGTTTTTATTAATCGGTAAGTTGTCAACTTGGTACCAAATGTGATGCAAAATCTCTGAATATGTATAGGTCATATGTGTCATGAAAAAGGTCACAGGTTCAATTCCCACTGCAGTAAAGCAATTTCATTTAAAGATTAATTATACAGGTTACTCAGTTGAGTTAAGTTGTACTTTCAATAGACCTTTCCCCTTTTCGGAGTGAAATTTTGATCTAGACAAGTCTGGACAAAAATTTCATCACAGCTTGAAAGAACATCACCAAATTAGTAATATTCCGAAGTTTCGTTGCGAAATGTTGTAAAATGCGGATAATATAGCCTTGCGAAGTTTGCCGTTTTTCAGTCATTTGTACGTATTACAAATGGGAAATTGATAATCAGATGATCAAACTGATTATCAATTTCCCGTTTGTAATGCAAAATGACTGAAAAACGGCAAACTTCTGCAAGGCTACATGTATATTATCCGCATTTTACAACATTTCGAAACTTCGGAATATTACTAATTTTGTGATGCTCTTTCAAGCTGTGATGAAATTTTTGTCCACGCATATCTAGATCAAAATTTCACTCATAAGGGGAAAGGTCTATTGATAATTGCAAAACAAATTTGAGTTACGATGAGTTGATGACCAGTCAACATCATCACCTGCCTGAATTGATGTGTATTTCTTTAACATCACACTCCGCAATTTTATCATGGGTTATGTCTTGAAAATAAGAACATAAGAACAGTTCAATCAAAAAATGAAAATGAAAAATTATTAAATTATAATACATGTGTACATGCTTTTAGAATTTTTAATGGTCGTGTCCTGTATGGATGTTGTTTGTCTGTGTTTTTAAGTGCAATGGCACTAATTGCGTTCCAAATAACAAGTACCTGGGGTATTGCCTTCAACATAACCTTCATGTTGATTGCTGGTATATGTAACTGTGGACCTGATCCTTTATTAACTGGCTCGGTACCAGCAAAAATTGGAGAGAAAGTAAATGCTCAAGCTGCTGTTTCAGGTGTTGTCAATGGTAAGTTACTTATCAGACTTAGGTTCTAAAAGTTATTTTATGCTGTCGTCATTAGTTTCGTTAATAGTTTCAATAGATGCATGCCAGCATGGGTATGGCACATTGGGGTATGACATTAAACGTTTTTGCATATAACACGAAAATAACACTTATTCCAATTTTGCTCTTATTGGAAAGAACTTTTAAAAACTTTTTAGATGTTAGAACAACATTTTTTGTAGTTTTGCCAATCCTCTTTCTCGAGAAAATTTTCGACCCCTTTTTCTACGTCACCATAAATCATTAACGAATTTTAAACTGGCACTCGCGTCAAAATTTTTATTTTCTTAAGGGACCGGTCATAAAGTATGTGTACTGGGGGGGGGGGGGATAAACAAATTATCTAACCTTCGGGGGTATATGAGACGAATTACGACATTTGGGGGGGGGGGTACGAAACAAAAAATGAGTGGAATACTATGTCTATGATTAATAAAACTACAGACTTTTATAATACAATATACTTTGAAAAAAATCGAGTGTATGTTCCTAAATGTTCCTAGCCGTAAATTGCAATGTAGCACAGTAGTATTTATGTCCCAGATTTTCACAAGGGCATATAAATAGTAGTATTATATAAAGTATAGTGCTTTATAGAGATAGCGAGCACTGATAAAAGTGAGCATCTCACTTGGGAGACTATTTATGATAATCCCACAATCATGTGAAAATTATCGCTTTTCAATTATCGCTTTTCTGTAAAAATTATCGCTTTTAAAAGACTGTCCTTTATATAATAAACAGAAAAAATGAAAAATACATGGGTGCTTGGAAATACCAGATTTATTTCTTGTGTTGAACATGACATCTCACTTGTTGCTGCGCTCACTCGTGAGATATCATGTTCAACACTCTCTATTTATTGACTACGCTAAATATTTCAATACAGACAGTGGATTGCAATACTTTGCAAAACAGTTATGTGCTTAGAATTTTATGTTTTTGGGGAGAGGGTGATTGGTTGGGCAGGGGGGGGTACGAAACATTTCGTCTCCTTTGAGGGAGGGTATTAAATATTTTCCGACGCTTTTGGGGGGGGTGCCAAATTTTATGGTAGAATTTTGGAGTACCCCCCACCCCCCCCCCCCAGTACACATACTTTATGACCGGTCCCTAAAGTAAACAAACAAGCGTCTATAAAGACAACGACGTAAGCGAATTCCAATTCATAGTTCTCGGAGAAATCGCATTCATGAATGATGTTATTCTTTATATCGCGAAATTTCGGTAAATTTCAATAATAAAATTTGTCAAAAACGTGAAAGAATATAAAACGAAACTATACTTCACTATCAAAGTTTCTGTCATCAAAATCGACAATAACTTTGATCACAGAAACTGAGAAACTTGACCGTGTAAGCGAATCTTTAAAGTTCACTGAGAAGATATCTCTATTTTCGGCAAGTTGTCTGTTCGTGAAACTGTCCGTTCGGCCAGTGGCGGCGCAAGGGGGGGGAAATGCCCCCCCAAAATTATTTTTTGCCCCCCCCCCCCATTTTGCCCCCCCTCAAAAAAAATTATTAGTCACTAAGAGCGACTAAAGGCTACACAAGCGTTCTGTCGTTATCGGAAAATGTATGGCTTATAAGTTGTCATTACTCATTACTGAATACATGAAACTGTTTTTTACAGTTTCAATATTAGTTTGTAAATCTCTGAATGGTAAAACTTGCCAATACTCCAATAATACGTTTCAAAAAAAGACAAAAAAGCTTTAGTTTTGCAGAGTTAAATTCTCAAACGTGTAAGGCAAAAATAAGATGAAAGTATCACGAAATTATTTGAATAAACCACATCGCATATATGGGGGGCGAATGTCCTAAAGAGGGGCGATATTCCTAGGGTATTCGCCCCACCCCCCTAGGAATATCGCCACGTTTTGAGGGGGGGGGGCGAATTTCTTGGGGGGGTGACCTTTTTAAAAATTCTATCTTGCCCCCCCCAAATTTGAGTTTGCCCCTCAAATGCCCCCCCAAATTTGGAAGCCTGGCGCCGCCACTGCGTTCGGCAAAATGTCCGTTCGGCAAAACGTCCATTCGGCAAAACGTCCGTCGGCAAAATGTCTTTCGGCAAAATGTCTTTCGGCAAAATGTCTTTCGGCAAAATGTCTTTCGGCAAAATGTCTTTCGGCAAAATGTCCGGCCACCTCCAGAAGGACATGAGCTGAAAGAAATATTTAACAGAAATCAAGGTAAGCTATGGTTGCACCATGGATCATAAAATAAATGGATAGGAAACTAGCTGACGTGACCTAATGTTTTCAATGGGCTGATGGCGTGGTTGGATGTCCCAACCTAGTTGAAAACCAAATTCTCAAAAACGGCATGTTTAGCAATAATACAGCTAAACATTTTAGTCAAAGAGCAAATAAATATAACCACGCCATTCTACGATGATAACTCTAAGTATTCCCAGTCAATTTTAGCAAATATTTCAAGCACTAAACAGTGAAAAATACATCGCAAATTTCGTTAAAATTTGTGACGCCAATTTCGTAGCTACAAATGTAAAAAAATACAAAACAAAGACGAAAAACATTTACCTTGAATACTTTGTCGTGGCTTAGGCATGTTTTTAAAACAACAAAACGCCGACTCGGCGTTAACCTCGGGTCGGTGGATAGGGGATCGTCTGGTAAATATCCAAAAATTGTGTAAATCACGATAGTTTAATAGTTCACTAGTATAAGTGGTGAATCAGTTAATCAAAGCTCCGTTTTAATATTTTATTGACAATAATTACTGGCCCTCATCAAACCTATTGTTTTCTCTCTGCATTATATCAGCGAATGTCGAGAAGTTTTCATTTAACGTTCTACTGAAAAACGGGAGCGGCCTTTTTGGTTGTATAGGGAAATTCCGGCTCAGGGGTAAATGTTTATACGCGTCATATTCTATGTACGCGTTAAAATAGCACACAACATTATTAAAAATAATGCAGCGTGCATCAGTGCACACAGACATTATTAGCGATAATGCATCTTCGTCACCCTCACCCTGACATGTACACGCGATAACGTGAACATCCCAAGATGAGAAGGTGACAGTGCTAAAAGCCCCCCATACGGTGTCGTCGGGGCAAATTTCGAAACCGTCGACGGTCGAGCACATCATTGATGGTCGAACACATCATTAATCTCGTTCCCAGATTGCTTTTGAGGTGATTAGCGCGTGGAACCATTTGGTGACACCTTATACCAATCGATGCCAGTAAAGATTTTACGCAGTATGATAGTATAAGGTTTCAGATTTTTGAAAAGATGGCATGCAAAGCAGCCAATTCGGTTATTATTCATTCTACAAAAGAGTTCAGAAATTAGTTATAAACAGATTTTTCACATTAAGTGTGGGCTTAGTTGTGTTTAAAGGCCGATAAAACTGGCTTATATTGTGTAAACGGCTAAACAACTGCTGTAACTTGGTCAAAAAAGCGTTATAATATGTTCCGTGCGTCAGTTTTTTATATTCATCAAGTAACCTACCGTATTTTTAACGTACGAAGTCACGAGAACGAAGAAACGAATTTTAAGCCAAATTAAATATAATGGCACAATCGGAGACGTGCTCGCCAGTAACACGATACGCTAAGATTTGTTACTAAAGGCCCTGTCACACTATTGCGTATCGTACTAGCGTATGCCAGCGCATGAAAAATATCCCTTATACGCCGGTATATACGCTTCTCACACGTTTCTCTCATACGCAATAGTGTGACAGGGCCTTAAAGAAAGCTTGATATGTTTTCTATTGCTCAATATACATATGAGTGCACGTGGTTCAAGTAAAAATGGAACCGCACAGCTAATACTATAACTAATTAACATTTCACTTTTACTTGAACCACTCGACATATATCATATTTCAATTTTAGCATTAGCCGTGGACTTATCAAAAGTGCAAGGTTTATAGATATATTATTATTATAGATAGACATTATGTTAAAGCTAACTGTAAATAGCATGTATAATATTGTTGCTAATGTTGGTATTTTCCACGTCACTCTGTTGTATCTAGTTTTGAGATGGTTCTCTATATTTCACTTCACAAGAGTTTTAATTAGTGAAGACACTTAGATACTTCAAAGTTAAGATAATCAAGTAAATTTTAGAAGATAGTTACTGCAACACTTGTGCGAAGAGCGCAGTAACCAGTAAACCGATTTGGCTGCTTTGCTTTTCGACTGCTACCCGCTATCTTTTCAAAAAATCTGAAACTTTATACTGCGTGAAATCTCCAGTCACTGACATCGTCTTGGTACAAGATGTCACCGAATGGTTTGTACGCGCTAATTACCGCTGGCGCGATTTGGGAACGAGATTAATGATGTGTTCGACCATCAATGATGTGCTCGACCGTCGACGGTTTCGAAATTTGCGTCGTCGGGTGCCTGAAGCACTGTTGGAAACGGTCGCTGTGAGTCTTTTCAGTTCAATTTTATAGAGAAATAGTTTCGTTTGCGCTTGTGGGATTTTATCCTAGATATACGCATGTGCAGAATACACCATAACTTCTATTCCCGTGTTTATCCAATACGCTATTTGAGTAAACCTTATAATTAATGATAATATGTAAACTAGAACACTATAATTGACCTCCGCTTGTGGAGATTTTAATTTAGGGCAATTAATTAAACTGAAATCTGTTCTATCACAATGCACTACAGTGCCTATGGTTATGTCTATATGCATGTCCTCACAAATGTCTAGTGTAACGTTGGATATAGGTTCATTGTCATACGGTCCCGACAAGCAGCAACGTACAGTAGTCTTCCAGCCGAAAATAATTACTTTTGATTCGGGTCAGTTAGTAATTATAATAGATAACAAGTGAAAGTTGGCCGCGGTATTCCCATGCTATGCATACGATGTATTGCACATTATATAAACATATACTCGAGAATAGTTGTCCAGCTAAACATGTATGTCAAAATTATCACATCTTCTGGTTTTAAATCAACAATTCTGACGGATTTTGTGCAAGGACAGCTTCGGGTTCCGTTTCGCTTTGGCCGATGCTTGCCGGAAGTACACTTATTTACCGGAGTTGTCGTCTCCTCCGCAGGCCCTTCGATCTTCGACTACGCGCGCGGCTCGACACAAATGGAAAAAAAAACAAAAAAAAAAAAAAAAAAAAAAAAACAAGAAAAAAAAAATAGGAGCCGAATTTAAGACCTCGGTGTCGTACCGACCCGAGGTAATTAGACCAGTTTATGCTTCAATATCACCCTTTTAAAGTGGAAAATATAGCAAAACAACAAAAATGCCGAGAACTTTGGTAACATTCGCAATACACGTGACGTCACGTTTTTCAACAAGGATGAGGTCAATGACGTCAGAAGTTTCCTATACAGTTATTTTACAATCCATGGTTGCACGTCAAACATTAAGCACTTGAAGGATCTCTAAGAAGGATAAGATAGAAGGAGTTATGATGTTGCCAGGGAAAAGTGAAGGAACGAAAAGTCTTTAGAAAATATTACCACTGTATATATATGCAATAAGAGAATTATAATTTTTAAAATAAAAATTTCTTAAAATTGGGCTAAAATGACACGCTAATCAAAGCAACGCAATATTTGAAGTGTTACCAGATGTTTCCTACACGCAACGGACAGTTTTGGAAAGAAGAACAGGGAACAACGATGAATTCGACAAACTCAACATCTTGCCCAAGAGAAGATGACGATGTTGAGCGTGTTATCTTAGTGGTATTTAGTTTCATCTTCTTATTTGTTGGTGTGTTGGGAAACATTGCAGTTATTATTTATAACATTTTTCTGAACCACGACAAGACTCCAAGCAGCTGGTTGGTTACACACCTTGCTTTCGCTGATCTTCTCGTCTGTTTAATACTTTATCCAAAAAGAATTCTTATGTTCTTACATGCAGAAGTGAGAGATGAAGGGTTAGTGTTTTGCAAGATAAACCGTACCACAATTTATGTTTCCTTATTCCTTTCCATAATGATTCTACTATCCATCACAATTGATAAATATCTGTATATAGCGAAGCCACTGAAGTATCAACTGATCGTGAGAACACCAAGAACTAGGATACTTCTCAGTTGTATCTGGTTAGCTGCATTGGTTCAGCTCCCACTCATATATATTTACATGTACACCAGCCAAAAATCATGTGAGCGAGAAAAATGTCGTTTTCCACGATCCGTTGTATGGTTGCAGGTCATCCTACAGTTAGCCGCCATTTGTGTCATGACAATCCTGAATTACAAAATGTTCAAGATTGTCAAACAGCAAAGGCAAAGGCCTCAACAGTCGGAACAAGTACAGTCTGAGCAAAACATGACTTGGTTACGTCATCTGGCAAAGGAATTGAAAGCTATGAAGACATTCGCCATTATCGTTGGAGTCTTAACATGTTGTTTTGTTCCATATATTGTCATGAATATGCTTCTTGGTCCACACAATCGTGTACGGTTCTCAATACCTATTCGGATCGTAATTCGCCAGGCGGTTGGTATAAACTCGATTGTAAATGCCTTCATCTATGCATTGAGACATAAAAAATACATAAGAGCGTATAGGAAACTCTTTTCGTCTGCCTGGGCACGGCTCTTCCCACAAAATAACTGACTTATTGATGATTATATAGATATATAACTATCTTAAAAACTAATCATGCATGTAATAACGGAAAACCAACTACCAAAATAACTAAGTATAACTACAGTATATTAGTAACAAAACATTGTAAACATTTTGCAAATAATTTCTTGTTGAGGTTATTTCTTGAGCATGGTTGTTGAATACCTGTATCTCTCAGTTCATTACACTGAGGAAGAACCAAGCAAACAAACAATCATGCCATTAAACATGCCAATTTAATCAAGGAAATACTGTAAAATGCAAAGAAATTGATTCTCAAAAACAGTAATGAAGCGAGAAATTATTAAATATACCAGAGTTTGACGATGAAAGTGAAAAAGAACAACATAAACAAGATCAATATCTATTAAAAGAAAATACAAGGCGAGAAAACAGTGAAGAAAGATTTAAAGAAAATACAAGGCGAGAAAACAGTGAAGAAAGATTAAAAGAAAATACAAGGCGAGAAAACAGCGAAGAAAGATTCCCATGAGGAAGTTGAACCTGAGGAGACCAAAAACGTAGCATATACACTGCGGCATATATAATTATTAAAAAAAAACTTGATCCATGTCAGTCCATTAAAATTAGTTGTAACACTAGAAAATCCCTATAGACCCATTGCATTGACGTCACAAATCCTTAGAGTGTCCTCCAGATGCTCCATACAGCGCAAAAATTAACAATTTTAATACAAAATTATTATGAAATTTTACAAAATTTGCTTTGTTTACAAAAGTTATATCATGCATAGATTGATAATTTGTCCTCCAGATGCGTCGTCACCGGCGCTGTGACGTGGTGTGCAATGCATGGGTCTATATATAGTGTTTAAAAATTCAGGTCTGAAACGGTGTATTATAGTATGACAGATGTGCAAAGTGTAGACAATAAGACACTGCAAGTGGCTTATGTATTAAGATTGCTGCCGTGATGTGAAGGATATATATCTATACCTGAAAAATATAAGCAGAACTTGGAGCGAAGGACCTTCGTTGGGAGATTAGAAGTTAGTACTTATAAGTATATATTTTTGTATATACTTATTAATATATATATATATATATATATATATATATATATATATATATATATATATATATATATATATATATATATATATATATATATATATATATATTTATATTTATAAATATATGTACATGTACCTATATATGTTCATATATTATAATTATAATAGGTGCTGTCTCTAATAAAAAGTCTAAAATCTAAATGTAAATGTAAGTTCATAACTATTTAAAATATTAATGATCTGAAATTACATGACCTACAAGGTTGCATTACGTGCGCAATATTTATTTATTTATTTACTTTGCCATCATACTTATACATTCATTGGCTGGGAAACCACAACAGCTATTGTCAATTACAGCGGCCCCAATAGTTATACAGAAACAATTTACAAGGTATACTAAACACACACAACAGACAATACTTGAACAACAGTCATTACATTTGTCTAAAAGCAGCATGTCAATGGAGAGTTCATTAAACTTCGAGCGGAATTACATTTTATACACACACTGTTCCATGTCCGGGGATCCTCAACATCGTATGTATTTTCTAATGCTAAAATATAGTACTTAAAAAGAAGATTCTTGAATTCTGAAAATGTTAGGTCTTTGGATGTAATATAATTGGGTAGTGTGGTCCATATTCTTGATGTTCGGATTTTGTAAGATTTTTCATAGGTTGACGTCTTGTATGTCGGAATTTTATATTTATGCGAGTTGGGATTAAATGATCTTGTCTGTCTTTGACCTTGAGGTTGAGGAAATGGAAGAATTTTTTTATCAATATTAATGGAATAAAGGAATTACTAAATCTGTTCGTGTGCATCTTGGGAAGATTATATTTTCTGTTTCTTCTGAGATTGTTTAGTTGTGAATTTTTCGGTGGCAATAGTTCCTTTAACTTATGATCATTTTTGCTTATTGATGTTATAAAACATTTATTGTTATCAGCTTTCTACACCATATATACAATTGAAATAAGACTAAAAGGCGATTTTAAACAAGTTTCGTCCTTCGGACCTTTTCAACAAATCGCCATATTGTAAATAGATAAAATAAATAAAAAAAAATATTTCTTTTATCTATATTTACAATATGGCTATTTGTTGAAAAGGTCCGAAGGACGAAACTTGTTTAAAATCGCCTTTTATATAGTCTTATTTCAATTGTATATATGGTGTAGAAAGCTGATAACAATGTTTTATAACATCAATGAGTTTAAGTAAAGCTTTCCTGGCTGCAACGACAGATATATCTAAAAAACATTTGCTTCGATTGATGAAAATAGTTTTACACACAACTTTTCTCTTCGATCGTACAATGTTTCCAACTTTGCTTTTTTAATGCTTCGATGTAACTCGAGTCTTGGGGATAATCCGTAGTGCCCGCTTCTGAATACTTTCAATTTCCATTGATAGGTATAGTTAGGGAGACTCGAGTGGAGGACTTGACAAGCATACTCAACGATAGATCTTATACACGCGGTATAAAACTTGTATAGTTTCATAAACTAGTTTCCACTTCAGCACGTTTTAATTGCCTTAAAAAAATAAAGTCTCTTAGAAGCCTTTTCCACGGTATTGCTTACATGTTTGTTCCATTTCAAATGATTGATAACTATCATATATACCCAGAACTTTTGCGGATTTTACAATTTCAAGTGGCTTCCCGTTTATATTTAGGGGTTCCTCAGTAAATGGTTGCGTGGTAAAGTCTATCCTCAGCTCTTTGCATTTACCAGGGTTCAGTTGAAATTTGTTGTCATTCGACCCTTTATTTACTTCGTCTACTTTATCTGGCAGGGAACTAACACGATCTTTTGGAATAACTTCGGAAACCGAAGTATGATCAGTATCGTCTGCAAATTTCCACAGGTTGCTAGTCGGAGATTTTGTAATACATAGGTCATTTATTATTGCTAAGAATAGCCAGGGAATGCACAGAGTTTATTTTAACTCTCTGAGTTCGACCACGAAGAAAGTCAGCTATCCAATTTACAACCGTTGGTTTTATTTCATAATTGGATAGTTTTGCAACAAGTAGATTGTGGTCTACTAGGTGAAGGCTTTGTGATAATCAAGTAGAGCGACTCTTTATACTGTAGAGCCCGTCCAATCAAGTGCAGCTATAGCCATGCAGGTATGCATCATTGAAATAAGAGCAAGAGTCGTGTTTGATGCTGGGATAAAGCCAAATTGCATTGGGTCCATCTTTCTTAGTAGTTTAGACTTTAATTCATACACGATGATGATATTTTCTGCAATTTTTGACAATGTTGAAGTTAAGGATATTGGCCTCAAGTCCTTGTTAAAATCAATAATGTTTTTGGCTTTAGGAACAGGTGGCACATCTGCTATTTTCCATACCTTCGGCACCTTGCATTCACGGAAGGATGCATTAAATATATTATTATTATTATTATTATACGTCTTTATTAAAAATTGAAGTTGCAACAAACGTGCATCTTTACAGTGCATATAAGATATATATATATATAAATATATATATAGTAATTATTAAAACGTTCAGTGCATATGAGAAATGTTAATTAGATTATTTACAAATTTAGTATTATTTCTAAATTAAATTATTTACATGCATTATAGTTAATATTATATATCGTATATAACAAAATTTTAAAACTAAAAGTCATTAAAAAGACACTTGTTCAAAAATGATTGTTTAAAACGTTCTGTGTAAACGGTAACATAAATTGATGATCGCGTTCTCTTAAAGGTCGTCGACGTTCTTCTGGTAACAACTCATATAGGCAATGTTCAGGATTGTGCATGACCTTATTGAACAATAATCGATCCCTCTCCTCAATCATCTTGGCCATTGAATATTTATTCTGAGTGTATCCATATCGGAATGCACGATTGAGAAACTTGTTGAATTTATCAATGTATTTCGCTTGCAAAGCCGATCCCCATACTTCAATTGCATAGTAAAATAACGACAGGATCAATGAATCGAACAATTTAGTAAGTTCATTTAGTGAATATCCGTAGAATTTACAAACTCTCAGGATGTAAATTCGATTTGCTGCTTTTGACAACAAGCTATCTACCTGCTTGTCCCAACAACGTGGGTTTTCTTGAAAGGTGACACCAAGTAGTTTTAACCATTTTTTACGTCGTATTCCATTAATAAGGGGGGGGAGGTATGGCAGGTGAACGAGTACATAGTAACATTTCCCAGGTTTTTTAAAGTTGAGTTTCATTCTATTGTTGCTTGCCCAACTCTCAATGTTAGTTACCTCGTCCAAAGCCGAGTCACCAGACGATGTGACAGGAACACTCACTGTTAAATCATCTGCAAACTTGACCAAATTGTTCGTTTGTGGATGTTTGGCTTCAATGTCGTTGACCATTAACGAAAATAAGAAGGGGCCAAGAACTGTACCTTGAGGTACTCCTCTGTTGATATTAACAAAATTGGTAACAGTTCCATCTACAGTAACTCTCTGTTTCCTACACGATATAAAATTAATGAGCCAATTGATAATATAAGGATTAAGATTTGTTGATTTCAATTTCTGTGTTAAAATATCGTGGGGGACGCTATCAAACGCTTTACTGAAATCGAAGGATATTACCCGAATGAAGTTAGCCTTATCGTCTAACCATTTTAGCCAATGATGCTAGCACTTTATCAGAGATGCAGTAGTGTTCGAATTTTCCCTATAAGCGTACTGGTTCTTATCGATAATCAATTTTGAGGGATGACGAATCTCTTCTTGAAATATGATCCTTTCGAAGAGTCGCATAATAACATTAGTCAACGATATTGGTCTCAATTGATCGCATTCGGTTAACGGAGATTCCTTAGGTAATGGGCTTAGATTCGCTAGCTTCCACATACTAGGTACACGCTGCTGTCTCAAAGAAGAATTTAATACATTTGTAAGAACTGGTGCAAGATAGCAGGCAAAATCCCTCCAAACCCAATACGGAATACCATCCGGACCAGGTGATGTTTGTTTTTGTCTCATCATAAAGTTTTCAACAGTTTTGATGTCAACAGTTGGAACTCGAGTTCCTTCAGGGATTGTCAATGGATCAGGTCTCACGTACTCATTATCAGTGTTTATACCTTGGAAGTAAGCATTCATAATTTCTGGATCGATAATATTACTAATATTTTCCGACCTAGATCCTCTCCCAGTAATTTGGTTAACGGTTTTCCACCATTTTCGAGAACCTTGTCTGTAATTGATTTTATCGTCATGAATGGCTTTGAATTGGTTTTCTCGAATAAGTTTATTTATCTTCTGTTGAATTAGGTCAGTATCAGCGCCTCTCATAAGTTCCCTATTTCTTACATTACACAGATGCTTAACAAGCGGGGACATACATGGTGGATCACGAGTCGACATTTTGACTTTAATCGTGGGAAAGCACTCATTGAACATATTACAAAGAGTTTCATTCAACAACTCGACTCCTTCGTCAACATCGTCAGTGTTGGCATCGTAAATCCGGCTCCAGTCATATACCTTCAATTTATTCTCCATTTTTATTTTTCGGTGGTACCTCACATCACGAAAATATACAAATTTTCTCTCACGCTTAACAGGTAGCTGTGGAGTCACAACAACCGCAGAATGACCAGAGCGTACCAAACATCTAAAAACTATAGGAGCCTTCCATAAATGAGGGATATTTGTCAAGAAAACATCCAGTATCCGAGAACCTCTAGTAGGTTTCCTCACGATTTGATCAAAGTTGTGCTGAATGCAAAAGTCGTGCATGCGCAGTTGATTTACATCACCAGCAATAATTATTTTGGCATTAGGTTGCAATAACAGAATCTTTTCACAGTATTCAGATAAAAAAATAAGCAAATCAGATTCGTTGTAACTGATTGGCTCAGGTGGATGATACACTACAGAGACGCAGTATGAACTATTCATAGTGTGAATTTCGCACCAGATACATTCGAAATTGTTATCGAGGTCGACATTAATAATTTTCCAATCATTTCTACACAAGATGGCAACCCCATCTCCTGGCCGAAGATCGCGATCCTTACGAACTATAGTATAACCACTAGGACCTATTAAAGTTGAGGGGATGCACTTATGATGATGATGATAACAATATTTAATCAGGGACGTCCAACTCAGCATAGCTGGTTTAAGTGGAGCCCTGGCAAAAATAGAATTACAAAACACACAGCTATACATACTAACATATATAAAATTACAACAATTTAACATACTGTATACTAATAACTATATTATGTAGATTCCATATAATATAGACTAAATACTTTCTTGGACTAAATACATTCGGTCCTTAGATACTTCTTTACATCTATTTTAAATTTAGAAAACCTGGTTTGATTTCTCAATATTAATGGCAACCTATTCCATATTTTTGCCCCGTTATATCGAAAAGAATTTTGATATTTTGTGGTCTTAGCTAGAGGTAGGCGGAGGTTATCTTTGTGTCTTGTATTATAAGCATGAAATTCGCGCGAGTAGTTAAACTCATGCAATAAATAAACCGGCGCCAAGCCGTGAAGACACTTAAAGACTTGGAGACAAATTTGATACTCCCTTCGAGATTGTAATGATGGCCAACTTAGTGTAAGATTCACATCAGATTGCAGCACTCGACGTCCTTCAATGATACTAGCTGCCCTCCTTTGAAGCTTTTCTAGGAAATCGCAATTTGTTTTACCACAATTATCCCAAACAGCAGAACAATAATCAAATAAGGGCAGAATCATAGCATCATATAGTGTGACACATGTCTCCCTCGGAATAATCTTTCGAGCCTTAATT